GTTGAACTTACAACTTTTAAAATAACTTCATAATAACCAGTTTTTTACAAGAAATTTAATGGTGCTACTTATTTTGTATTTGGTTTAATGACGAAATTGACAATTAATGATTATTGCGCCATTTTTTGTAATAAACATACAACAATATATGCACAACAGAAATTAAATGATGAGATGAAAATGTGTTATAACGGCACGTATAAAGAACAACAATAAAATGGACCTACAATATTATTGACTATTTGCAAATAGTAACTATGGAGACGAGGTAATAAAATAAAAATCATTATATTTTAATGAGCTTCAAAAGTGCTGCTACATAACAAGACAGACATGATATTATGTACATTAATTGAATATGAATGATAAAATATTTAGATGAAGTAACTATTAATACCGTGTCTAAAAATATATTCACATATGTTGTTATTTTGTTTTTTCATACTAAAGTGAATCTCCAACTAAAACGTAAATACTCAAGGCCAGTGCACAATCACGAATTAAAAATTAAAATAAAAATATGAAATCAGCCATATGTAATATATTTTCCATTTTGTGCTTGTTATAGTTTTCATACTATAACTTTCAAATCAGTTTGTTTGTTTGTTTGTTTGTTTTTGGAATTTCGCGCAAAGCTACACGAGGGCTATCTGCGCTAGCCGTCCCTAATTTAGCAGTGTAAGACTAGAGGGAAGGCAGCTAGTCATCACCATCCATCGCCAACTCTTGGGCTACTCTTTTACCAACGAATAGTGGGATTGACCGTCACATTATAACGCCCCCACGGCTGAAAGAGCGAGCATGTTTGGTGGGACTGGGATTCGAACCCGCGACCCGCAGACTACGAGTCGAGCTCCTTAACCACCTGGCCATGCCGGGCCGTTCAAATTAGTAAGTGTATGTTAACGAAATTTGGCATAGTATCAATTAACATTGCATTGCTTTCATATGCAAATTATCAATGTTAAAAAGGCATTTTGCTTTTGGTAATATACAAAGTAAAACGATGTAATATATTGATGTTTTACGCATTAATAAAGTTTTTAAATATATTACTTCAATCAAGCAAAATACGAGAAAAAATTAAAAGTCTCAGTAATAAGACAATATTCAAACGTCGGAAAAAGTATTCGTACAGTAACCAATGAACGATTAAACTTTTACCCTGTTTTGAAAACATGTCATTGAGAAATCTGTAGCTACAGTGGTTATCGTTTTTTAAGTGAAGGTGTATGATTACACAAATATGTTTTTCAACTTAAAAGAGAAAAAAATATTATTATTAGAAGATCTATCAGATAACGTATTTCCTTTAAGCTTCATTAAGACATGATGCGTTTAATCCCAACAATTTATGAAATAAATTGAATAATTGTGACATAAGGGTCCCGCTCTTGGAATGGTTTGAGAATTGTTTTAAAACTGGTAATAACAAAAACAAATGATACGTGTAATGAGCTCAGACTGTATTTCAATGGTGTTCTGCAATCATATGTATTGGGACGTATTCTTTTTGTTGTTGTTGTTGTTGTTGTTTTATATAATGATATATTAGACAGAGATATTGAGAGCTTGATATATTTGTATGAAAATTACACTGCTATTTCTGGATTATTTGTTCATGTGTTACTGAGTCAAAGCTACACAATGGGCTGGAAATCTGCGTTCTACCCTCCGCTGGTAACGAAACCCGTTTTTAGCGTTATGAGCTCTCACACTTACCGCTGAAACAAGAACACTCATCTATTGTTAAATCAATCTCCCTACGAATAAAATAACTTCGTATGGTGCTGTATATATATGTGTGTGTGTGTAAGAATATTTAATAAATCTATATTTGCTACTTTTCTATAAAAATAAAAAAAGCGACTCTAAACTTGAATATACATCCTGCTAGCTTGATACTAGACTTAATACAAATCATACCGTTGAAAAGGGTTAGGTTTCTGACAAAATATGACTTTGTGAATGACATTTGCATTGATTTTTTCATTAGGTATCAAATCGAAGTTTCTTTTGCTGCTTGCCACTTTTATTATATGTTATTGGTGTCAGAGTAATGAAAAGTGAAACTGGCAACTCTACAACATAATAGAACCAAGAGTAGGACAGAAATGACAGTTAATAGCAACTAAACACCACAAAAAGGCTTTGAAAGTTCATATAAAATTAATATTTGTGCAAATACTGACTATGATGTTATAATATATGTAAAAGGTGTGTGTGTGTGTATGTATATATTTATATATATATATATATATAGTTTGGTAAAAAGAGATAATGTTTCCCTAAAACCTCTTGAAACATTCTACAATTAAGAATGCTTATGAATTGAAAAGCAAATTATTATGATCGTGTAAAAAGTTTGGTAAGAATCATTTACTTATGATGCGAAGAGTAAATGGTGTGCTCAAATGATCGATTAAAACGCAGAGTAATGACTCTTTATAAAATATTTATGGATTGAAGAGTAAATAGTGGGTGAAAATGATCGATTAAAACGCAGAGTAATGACTCCTTA